TCTGGTTCTGGTGTTTGTGGATTCGCGGGGGCAAACAATGTTATTTAATAAATATGTTTTTGTTTTATGAAATATTTCATATTGCATCTTTTATATATATATATATATATATATATATATATATATATATATATATATATATTTTTAAGCATATACAATATTTTTAAAGTAAATAGTATCTAACAATAAAATTAAATAAATTAAATATGTAATAATAAGTGTGGAGGGTCTTTTAAAAAAATAAAAAGAAAATATTATTTAGCAAATAAAAAAAATCTATATAATGTAAATGTTTTAAAATTATTCCAACTTTTTACCACTTTTTAATTAGAAGTTAATAAACTTTTAATTTTTTTAATACAACGTTTTAAGCTAGTATTTAACGAAAGTATTTTAAAAAGTTATAAATAAATATTAAATTGTCATACAAAATCTGTAAACCACTCTAAAAATGTTGTAAAAGAAAGTTTAGAAATAAATATATGAAAGTTATAAAAAAAATTGTATGAAAATGTAAAAAAACAAGTTAAAAAACTTGTAAGAAAAATTTAAAATATTTATAAAATATTTGGTTTAAAAGCACTTGTATTAAAATTATATGAAAGTATTAAAAAAAATTATAAGCAAAGTTTAAAATACTGTATTAGAAAAACCTATAGAAACAATATCATAAAAATGTTGTAAGAAATAATAATTTTTTTTAAAGAAATTTGTAAAAAAATTTTGTTCACATTTAGACAATTTTTCTTTTTGTACACATTTTTTGACCATTTAACTTGTTAAATGTAGGGATGAGCTTTATAACCGGACCGGTTCGGAACCGGAACCGGTTTTCCTATATTATAAGAACCGGGAACCGGACCGCCGGTTCTAGCGCCGTTTCCGGTACCGGTTTTTCGGTTATTTTTCAAAGTAGAACCGGTTGAAATACTATAGATTATATGCTATCTTCCGGAGCTTGTAAATGATTCAATATTTAACCACATTATGACTTTTTACATTCTAAATTGAAGTACAAACATTAAATTACATGATGAAAAAAGAATCAAGTAATTCTGACTTCATATGAGTAAGTTATGCGCATTTTAAAAGTGGGGACAGATTCCAAAAAAAATAAAAAATGTTGAAACAGAAAAAACGCAGCATTGATATGTTGTCTTCCGGGGTCTATAACTGATTCAATATCTAACCAAAATATGTGTTTTTATAGTCTAAAATGAACTACAAACACCAAATTACACGTTGGAAAAAAAATTAAGTAATTCTGACGTCATATGAATGCGTTATACACATTTAAAAAATGGGACAGATTCAAAAAAACAAAAAAATAATGCTGAAATAAAAAAAAAACACAGCATCGATATGCTTTCTTTCGGGCATGTGTCTTATTCAATATCTAACCAAAACATATGTTTGTACCATCAAAAATGAATTACAAACTTCAAATTACATGTTGGAAAAAAATCAAATAATTCTGACTTCATATGAGTGAGTTATGCGCATTTTAAAAAATGAAAAAAATGTCAAACCGGTTCTGGTTTTTGGAACCGGGACCGGTTTTCATAAAAATGGAGAACCGGTAACCGGACCTATTACCAATTCCGGTTCCGGTTCCGGTTCGGTTCCGGTTCCGGCGGTTCTAATGCTCATCCCTAGTTAAATGTGTTCATATATTTGTAACACCCATAAAATTGAGCCAATTTAAAACATTTTAATTCATTCAAAAACCATTAAGTTCATACATCTCATTTTCAAAATAGTTTGAACATCAGAGTATCCCCCAGAACCATATCACATAAATCATAAAACATGAGGAGCGGTAAGATCACGCTTCCGCCTTGCCACGATCTCCTGAAGTGCCTGAAACAATACACTGAAACTGTAAGCCCGAAAGCTTAGTGAGTTACCCCCAAAATACCAACCACACATAAACATACTCATAACATATCACAAATAGAACAGCCATGCACATCGGGTCTACTGTGTGACTGGTCCGCCCGCACCGGGCCTTCAGTCCACCTGGTCCACCCTCCGAGTCTAGCCATGTACATCGAGTCTACAGTGTGATTGGTCCGCCCGCACCGGGCCTTCAATCCACCTGGTCCACTCTCTGAGTCTACAGTATGACTAGCCCGCCCACACCGGGCCTTCAGTCGGCCTGGTCCACTCTCCGAGCCTCGGCACGTCTGGTCCGCCCTCTTAGGGCCTTCAGCCTATCCGGACCGCTCGCTGGGCCTTCGGAATATCCGGTCCGCCCTGGGTATGTTGGCCTACAGCACAAAGCAGGACCCGCCTCAACCCAACCCCCGTCAAACAACCATGTGCACATAAAACAACTAATCACATAACAACCCTTAACTAGACAAACAGTCTAACAGATCACATAGCATATCAACATCCTAACCAGGATTCCGACCTAACCGGTCACTAGCATATCATTACCCTATATACCGGGTACCGACCTTAACCAGGTCACTAACATAACACCATCCTAAATACCAGGATGCAGATCTAGCAAAGCAATAACATAATAAACAATACCCAGATTTCCATCCGATAAAGGGTCGGCCTTGGTGTCGTAGACCCTGTCGATATAGTGAGGATAACTCACCTGCAATTGCCGACTGAAAAGATAAGACCAAGCTGCTCCGACCACCGACACGATCTCCACCACAGAACACTACCAAAGAACCAATTCCATAAATACCAAAATTACCATAATACCCTTGGAAATCAAACTGGTCAACTCTTGGTCAAAGTCAAAATCCTCAGTCAAAGTCAACCTTCATAACTGACTCTACTCGCCGAGTCAAACTGTTGACCCGTCGAGTCCTTATACTCTGAAAACTCTCAGAACACGACTCAACTCGCCGAGTCACCCCAAGACTCGTCGAGTCCAACGATCTCCGAGTCCCATCCTGCTCATCTCACCGAGTCACCTCCCGACTCACTGCTTCGAGGTTTAACTAGAAAGATTGGGGTTCTGCACCCAGACTCGCCGAGTCCAGAACAGACTCGCCGAGTTGTTCTTCAACTCGCCGAGTCCATGCACATGTTCATACAACTCGTCGAGTTCACCCATGTGACTCGCCGAGTCTCTTCAGTTCTCAATCCATACAGAGGCTTTTCGAGCCATGCAGGGGTTCCAAACTGTAGATCCACCCTTCTAGGGCATAACCCCTACGTAAAGTTGCAAACTTTACGTGAAACCAAGGAGTTAAAGGTCCAAATCACTCTAGGGCTTGGGTTTAAGACAAAGGATCCCCTCAATAATCCCAAAGGATGGTGCTTTATGTTTCCATAGCTCAAAACTAACCTAGATCCGGAGTTGCAACCTCAGATCTAGCCTGTAATCCGAAATGGATCACAAACAAGCTAAGGAACCCCAAATCAACCACCATGGATGAATCTAAAAAAGGAAATAGCTTAGGATAAGGGCTTCTTACCTCTGAGATGTGCCCAACTAATGTAGATTCTGGATCTACACAAGCCCCTTGATGCTAGCCTCTATCTCCTCAAGCTTTTTACACCAAAATCTTCTTCCAAGCTCCACTCTCCTCAATCAATGGTGTTTCACACGAACTAGGGTTTGCTGGAACTCTCAGGGTAGCAAGGGGGTTGAGGGAAGGATATAATGTTCTTTATATAGGGTGCAAACCCTAAGATTAGGGTTTTCCTCTCTTCAGCACCAACTCGTCGAGTCCTAGCTGCCGACTCGGCGAGTTGGCCACTTAAACCTGCGACAAAATCCCGCTCCGACTCGGCGAGTAAGCGGACCTACTCGTCGAGTCCTTTCTTTTATTTACACTTTTGGCCCTTCATTGAACTTCTGAAATTTCGGGATGTTACAATATTACCATTGTCACCTGCTATAACAGGTGACAATGATAATATGCAAACACATTTAACAAGTCAAATGATTAAATGTGTACAAAAAAAATGAAGTTACCTAAACGTGAACAAAACGAAAAGGTAAGCAGATTCGTCGAAGCCACTGCTAATTTCGATAATTACCCTCGCAGGTTATTTTCCCCACAAATGATGACATTATTAACATTTGCATGGAAGGCTAGTAATATTAAGACATTTTAAATGAAATATGATCCATGTGTAGATTTATTTGAGTTTTTTTCTAGAAAAAAGAAAAGCATATTACCGAATGAGAGGAATTGAAATTTAAGGATGTTTGTGGTTATTTTATTAAGTTCTAAAAAATATGATTGTTTGTATATATCATAATAAACACACCAATATATGATCGGCTTAGTGAATAAGTCCACTCTAATCATATTATACATATAACTATTTTGTTAGTTTTTGACAAATTAAACAAATTTTTTTAAATATAGAAAATAATATAAATTTTAGGTTTTTTATTTGTTTATTAAAATAACATAAAAATATATTTTAAAAATAACAAAATAAAAGATGGAGTTTATAAATTGTTTCTAAAGAAATGAGTAAGAATTTGATTATTGAAAAAAAAAACAACATTACAAAAAAACATATGGAATTTGTAAAAATCGGTTTTTTTAAAAAAAAATGACAATAAATAAAGCTTTAATATTAATCATTGTTAATGTACCAACATTGTTAATGTATCAATGGTGCTAAAATCAAATTTGATGTACAAAATAATATTGTGTTGGAATGATTATTTTTTAAATATTGGATTTTGGATGTCCTTATAACAAGTAATACAGTTTGTTTACAAGAGTGTGAATCATTTTACAGAAATCAGAAATTTTAAATCTACAAGAAAAATATTTATTTAACTACAGTCACCGAAAATGCATTATGTTCAAGAATATTACAATAGCAACATCACAATTTAACACAAAATGAAAAGAATTAAACCACAAAAATAAAAAAAAATAATAATAATAAACACATTAAATAATGACATTAAAGCATTTTCCCCTTCAATCTCGACAATATATGAGATCGAAGAAGGAAACTCTACATACCATCATTTCAAACAAAATGAATCTCTACATCATATGAAATCGAAGCTCAAATCAATTCAAAACAGAAACCCAAATGAGAGAGCAATGATGGAGGCGACGGCGGTAGGGACGAAAGCGGTGGCGTCGGAGGTCGGAGCAGGGGCCGGAGCCATTTGTGCATTGACGTTTGTCACGGCCGATACGGCCATCAACATTACAACGACGGCGGCGAAGAGCTTCATCTTCATTGATTCCATTGCTTCGAAATTGAAGAGTGATTTAAAGGAATCGAAGAGAATGTTTGAAGTTATGGAGAAAGTGGGGAATTTGAGTGATTGATTTAGGGATGGTGGGGTGGGTTAATATAGGAAGAACACGGGCAGGGGTGCCCGTGAGGAGAACAGTGTTAACAAAGAATGCCCGGCTGCCCGTTTTGTGACAGGTTGTTCTTGCGATTACAGCTGTTGCCAACGGTTTGATGTTTTTTTCGTGGGCTCCATTTTGTTTTCTTCCATTTATCATTTCTTTCACCGCCTTTTTTTTTAAATTGATAAAAAAAAAGATTAGTAGTGGTATTTGTTTTTGATATTTTGTAGGATATATTGATTTTATATTTGTTGCAAATTATAACATCTTGATTTTTTTAGCACGATGGTGAGAGTGAGATTTTAATAAAAAGACAACTAGAAAGTTGTTGGTAAAAATAAAAGGAAGCGATTACATAGAGAATCAAGCAAAGGTAATTGCATCAAATATGTCAATTTTAAGCTTTTTTAGCTTTGAATTTAATCCAATGGTAAAGTTAAGTTAAATCTCATCTGTCAATTGAAAGAAAGAGTTATTTAGATTCCGGCTTTCTGTTGTGATGACCATGAAAAAAAGCTACTTGTTGGAACGAAGTTGGGGAGGAGAAAAGAAATCAAGCCCAAACCAAGAAGAAAAGTAGAAAACCAAAGCCTTTTTGTTTTGGAGGTGGCAAGAAACAGTATTAGATTAACGCTTTTTTCTAATATATTTGGATTTCTTAGATAGTTAAATTTCATATTCTTGATTATGTCATATTGGACTTTTTCAACTAAAATGCTCAATGATTATTACTTATTAACAGCCACCAAGAACAGCTAACAGCCAGCAAGTTACATAATAAAATGTACTTTTGTTTTGCATTTTTGTTAATCTGTGGTTGTTATTATTTATATTTGTTAAAAATGTTTCCTATAAAACATATGTTGGTAGTGAAAAAAAGAAAAAACATGAAAAAACTGAATTAATTGAAGCTCAAAAAAAATCTATGAATAAGTTTGTAAAAAGAAGTAACTTCTAATGTTTTAAATGAATAAGATGATGCTACACATATTATGTTTTAAATGAATAAGATAATATCACATATATGAAAATGTTTTAAATGAACAAAATAATATCATACATGCAAATATTTCAAACGAAAATGTTGATATTGATAATGAAAATATTAATAATGAACATGACAATGTCACACATAAAGCTGTTTGAAAATAAGAATGAAAATGTCTGAATGATAACGGACAATTTATTTCGCCTCTAAATATTTACAATCCTAGTTACTTGGATAGTCTTGACAACCAAACACAAGCCATCCACCAAACCCAAACCCACAACCAAACACATCATCTCCTATCAAATTCGCTGGATACACGAATTATATTAACCTACTAAAACTCCCAAAGTTTGTCGTAAATACCATACCAACAAACTTATTTCAATCTCACCTCACATCCAATGTAATTTCCTTCCTCGCCCTACATTCAACATAGCTACTGTGGACAAAACCCAAATTACAACAAAACCTTTTCGGTACTTTATCTTCGATGCCAAATGTCCAAACACAACAACCACCACAAACAACCATCAATAGAATTCATTACCGAAACGTAATACAGAAGTAGTAGGAGAGGAAAATAGTAAAAGGGAAAGGGAAAGGGAAAGGGAAAGAGAAAGTTGTTACCACAAAAAATGAAGAAATTCCACAGTGGTGGACTCGGAGGAAGAGTGCGCTTTAGCGGTAGCATGGTGTGGGACATCGAAAAATAAAACTCAAGGAAATTGTATGAAGAGAGGTGCTTTTTGGGAAGCAGCGCTCACCAAATTTCACGATATCTTGAAAAAAAAACCATACCGCAATACCGATAAGCTAAGTAGTAAATGGACTCAAATGAATAGGAGGTGCACAAAATTCAACGGGATCTACAACAAGCTTTGTTCATAAAAGCAGAGAGGTTGCAAGGACTTCGATTTGTTTAAATCCACAAAAGAGCAATACTGAGTCAAGATGAGTCATACGTTTAAGTTTGAGAGAGCATGGGAGATGCTGAGAAGAGATCCATAATGTACCCAAACTCCAACATCGGCGGATGTGCAATCTAAGAGGTCTCGAAATCCGAGTTCGGTCAACGTTTTCAACGCACGGACTCACATCGACCTCAACGCCGACACATATGAGATTACAGGTGACATCGAAGAGATCCCTTCCACGACGATCAGTAGGACACTATAAAGCGAAACGCGCTGCAAAACATGCGGAGGAAGTTGACAGAAAATCAAAGCATAAGCGAAGTTCCAGAATCACAATATAATTCAAAAGAAAAAATGATATGCGACATGAGCACTTAGATTTCCTTCGTTGTCAAGCAGTAGCAAAGAAGCAGTGACGTGAACGAGAAGAAACGCTGAATGACTTGGCAATTCATAGGATTAGCGTTGAAGGTTTGTAGCCCGAAGATGCAGATGTAGTATGAGCGATGAAAGCGAAAATTCGTGAAAGACTTATGGTCAAAGTTTAAATTTTAGGATCGTTTTATGTTTTAAATTTATCGTTTCTTTTTGTCTTGTATTTTTTTTTTCAATTTAAATTTTATGGTTTATTTAAATTGTATGTTTAATTTAAAAAAGTATGTTTTATAAAATTACATTTGTTTTTATAATTTTTTTTTTAAAAAAAGAAGACATGAAAACTAATTAGTATTATAACACTATCACAGTTTTCTGCAACATTAAGGTTAATGTAACATGTGAGGTGATATTTTTCGACCAACTAGAATGAGAAAGATTTGTTGAATAATATTGAACTTTATATTATGATTGACAACTCATGCATCTAAAAAAAGTTTGTAAATACGATTTTTTTTTTTTTTGTGCTATTTTATATATTAGGATTGACAACATGTTTTGTTTTGTTGTTTTTTAGTTAATAATTGTTAGATTGTTTTGGCCCCGAAGTCTATAAAATATCATTTTTCCTTTCCATAGGTGAGCAACCTGTAATTGTATTATTTTTTAATTAATAATTTTTTTCCGGAGGTGCTGCCATTCTTTACCAAAAAGGATTGTATGTATATCCTACTCCACAACTATGGTCCTATTTTTTGGAGCGGGACCCATGCTTAGTCTCCATAGAAACAAGGTCAAAAAGAAAATCATACTTTACAACTCAACATGTAACACAATATAATCAATCTAAAATTTATTTCAATAACATTATCTACATTTTGTAATCAGTAACAACAAATATGATCCACATTAAGCAAGAACTCAAGATTGCAATGCATGACAATGAGGGCGAGTTCAACAACCATGTGAGTGCGGCTGGATGATGTAACGAATACATTTATGGGTTGGGTTATCATCTATAAGCTCAATCATTTATGGATGATGTAACGAATACATTTATGATTGACAAACAAGATTCAAAATAGGAATACCATTAAAGCTCAATCATTTCTACTTTCTATAAATTTCACAAACAAAATTTTGTTAATGGTAGTAAATTATTCTCGGATATTATGGTGTAAAAATACATCTACGGAAGTCTACAAAATAAACAAATCATCAAAATGACTTTTCTAATACGTGAATATCCAATCCAAAAATAATAATCCAAAAAGCATAAAAAAAATGATTCTCTTAACTCATTGTTTTCCATCTTCATTAATCCGTTGCAGGTTCCCCCATAGATATTTTCCACTCGCCATGTCAATAAATCCTAATAAGGCATTTCGTGTCATCTGAAATCCCAAATGTATGTTTTATACACAATTTACAAATATATTCATCTTTGAAATCGTCGGTTTTACTTAAATTTGTCATACCCAAATGTTTTTAGTCAGTTTTGAAATACATATTTGTCAAATTGGTAGACCCCATAGAAAATGCAGGTAGAAGGCATAGAAGAAGAAAGACATACCTGCAACTATATGAATAAATTGACAAAATCATTACCTTAATCATGTTGAATTAATTCTTGTTTATTTGTTGAAAAATCATCATCAAAAACCATTTCTTTAGTTTCTTGGGAGTTCCTCACTGACTTCCATGTGATGTAACCAGCTAATATGGCTGAAAAAAACACCAAGAACACCCTCATCAGACATATTTTTAAGGGTGCTTCCTTTTTTGTTCGATCTTCATTGGGAAATGGTTTTAAAGGAGAATTGGAGTAAATTTCATAGAGGAGTTGACTTTATATGTGTTGACTTGACTATTTCTCTAACTTATGATGCACACGTCTAATCTTAAATCCTCCTAACAACAAAAGTCAAGCACATGTTGATTTAAATTATGAACCTTTATTGGTTTGGAACACACGGTGTGTGAAGTCATTATGGTCAAAGAATCGAAACAAATTTAAAAATGACATGTTCAATTTTTTTGGGCCAAGGCATTGAGGATTTGCAAACAAAGTTTTGAAATATTGGCTTCTATCTTCTATTGTTATTCTAATAAAATAATCATTTTTATCCATATGACATGTTCTTTATGCTTCTTCGGTTCAAGTTCAATTACTAAACTGCCCTTCTATACCTTCAAATTGGTCGGCCTTATAATCTGCATAAAAATATTCGTTATCAACCCCATAAATTTTGCAACAAATAGGTTGACTAACTATATATGTTCGTCCCCACATCACGGGTATATCCCCCAATTTCGTTTTTGCATTTTGAAAATCAAATCACGCAACCATATTTGTTCATCGGTTTAACCTATTCACGTTCAAATTTTCTCAGCTGAAGAAACATAATCGCAGTATATCTTCTTCATTTTTCAAAACCATGATCGAGAAAATCAGGAACAGAATCGCTAGAAATCACACACATATCTTCTTCCTTTCTCTTTCTCGTTTTTAAATTTTTGACTTCAGCCGTATTATACTATCTAACATTTTACAAAATGTTAGTTATTGTTCTTAAAATCTAATAAAAGAATCATTTTTATCCATGTGGCAAGTTCTCCATGCTTCTTTCGTTCAAGTTCAATTACTAAACTACCCTTCTATAGCTTCAAATTTGTCGGCCTTATAATCTGCATAACAATATTCGTTATCAATATGAATACAAGGCTGTTATGTTACTTGTGAGATTTTATAAGCTCTAAATCAGTAAATCTTATAAAATATTTAAAAAAACTGAAAAGTTATTTCCTTTTAATATTATATGTATTAACAACTATGCAATTCAATTAACTTTGAATCATATTCTCCACAAGTTAACAAATCACAACAAAATGCATTTGGTTCGTTAAATGGTTGCATGTGACATTGTTAAAATTATAAAAGTTAATTCGTTAAAGCAAAATACATACATCTTCACAAAATCATTGGCCTCAAGTCAATACTATGTGAAGGGTTGTTTATGTTAGTCCTTTCCAAAGTCGGAATTAAGGGAGGTTGATAAAAATACCTTTGGGTTATGCAATTATGCTTTGGAAAAACAAGTGTTTTTTTTTCTATGTATAAAGTGGGAAGTGTAAAAGATGGTGGGTTAAAAGTAATTCAAGAAAGAGTTTGAGGAGTGAAGTTGTCAAGTGAAGCAGTAATTTGAAGAAATAAGAGTTCTTGTACGTGAGAAGGAAACTACGCCTCAGTTCACATAACTCAATATGCAATTCTCACATTTTAGGTTTTCTCTTTGATTTCTCCCTTTCGTTGTTCTTGCATTAAGATCAATCATCTGGTTGTGTAAGAGTGTGTTAAAGGCGTAATCTGAGTTTCTTGGCGGTGTCCCCATGGCATTCCGAGCTCCACGTAGGAGGTGCCGCACCATTCCATTTGGCTTTAGAAGTAGCTCTTGGTTAATGGCGTAAGTTTCTTGTCAACTTACTGCTCTTGTAAGAGTTTGATTTCGATTGTTTGTTAAGTTCTTAATCAGTTGATTTTGTTAAACAAAAGTTATTGCTGTTGCCATTTGTTGAAAATATTTGGTTATACCGTCGTATGCAACAGTAAATTGGGAGGAATGAAGCATCGAATGAAGAAGAAGAGACAGAGACCTTCAGCGTCTGGATCTCAAAACCCCAACCCTTCACTTGGTCAAATTGATGATCACTCCAGGGTTTTGAATGGTGTTGAAGAAGGAACTTCTTCGGTTTCCATACAGGAACACGCTGCTGCTGCAGAAATCATTGAGACACCTTCGAGTTCGATTATTGTTCATCGTCATCGAGACGATGATTCTGCAGAAAGTTTTCGGAATTTGACAGAAACAGAGGCTGATTTAACTTTTTCAGTAAGATCTGTTCCCATCTTTTCTACTAGGACTGAATCCAAAAAAATTAAACGAGGCATGGTAGAAATACTTTCAGAACTGAACTTTTAAAGCAAATATTAAAGGAAATTTGTGGTTCTTGGCTGCTTAATTGTTTGTAAGTGAAGAAAAAACTATGATACAAAATTAGGTTAATACTCAATAGGTTGTTCATTTAAAGTTAAACTGATTTGATAAATTTAGTATTGTATTGAAACTTGAGAAAATATTAAATTTGGGATCTCAACCATTGACTTGACTTATTGGTTTATTTAATATTAAAGTAATACTAATTACCATTAACATTATAAGCACTGAGAAATATCTTAGTCATGGAAATTATTGATGATGCAGGAGGAAGATGAAGGGTCAGGAATGATAATAGATCTTCGTGGCCATTCTGTGGAAATCGCATTGCTGCTTCTAAAAATTCAGCTTTCTCTTTGTTCATTGATTGGATGTAAGCATCATCATCATCATCATCATGATGCAATGCATCCATACATAATACATATACAGATTTTATGAATGTGTCTAATAGATTTACGATGTGCAGATGTGGGGAAAGTGACAGTTATCATCACCTGATCTGGGAGGTCAAACTGTAAACAGGGGGTATGAAACTATGAATTATGAAATTATATTTCCCTTTAGTTCATTAAAGAAATGATATATTATTATTATTTTAATTATTTAATGTTGTATGGTTGTAGGTTATATTTGACATTTTAGAAATAGAAAACATGGAATAGAAAGACGATGACAAGACAACTCTGGTAATCAAACTCAATGGCTTCTTCCAAAGATATTATGACTTTTTTTTAATCTCCACATTCCTTTTGTGTGTGAATATGTGCTACTTGAAACCAGCTTTTTTGTGAATATTTTTGAAGCTATGGTTTTGGTTTCTTATTTTAGTTTTCATTTTGCACACACATGACACAATATATAGGTAATAATATAGGTGTTATGGGCTTAATGATCTTCAAAACTGGATATCTGTAATTTCGGATTGTGGATATTGGTATATGAATCTTTATCAGATGTCAGGAATCTTCACAAAATTAAAAAAAAGGAAATCTCAATCGTATTTAAAACAATGAGATCAATACATCTTTGACTTCTATGACTATATAATAATCTTGAATACTTGATCGATTAACTTAAATTATGCAAATCAAGTTCTATTAGTGCATACAAATATTAATTTAACAAGTATCTATTATCTAATTATAAAAGAATAAAAGAGGTTGTTTTCTTATTCTCATATTCGTTTGAAACGAACTTTTAAACTTCTTTTCTAATTCATACATTAAACTTATTATTATTCTAATTTTAATACAAAATTATTTTCAAATCTTATTTTTCTAAATAGTCAAAAAGTTTAAATACAAGACCTAAATTAAAATACAAAAAATTAACAAAAAATAGATCAAAAATTACTTTTTATAATAATGAGTTTTTTCAAAAGAGAGCTTTAAAATTATTTGCGGGGTTGGAAACGCCAAATAATTGGAAAAAAACAGAAAGATTTTATTGGGTGATTCAAGATTCCATTCCATGGTTTGTTTGGTTGCCAATTCCTCCAAATTCCATTTTTGATAGATTTCAACGTTGGGTCGGTGTAAAGAATTGCATTCCATTCTTTGTTTATAAATATTACCCAATCATCAAATAGAATGGAATTGGAATTCAAGATTCCTTTCCATACGGATCTAATTACATGGTTGATAAATTTCTCTGGTTAGTGGAAGGAACTCAATTTCATTCTTTCTTTTTTACTAAAAGACCAAAATACTTGTCGTGTATGTTGAAATAAAAGAATTTACTATAAGTGAAATTTTGAAAATTCAATCAAGTTTTCATCTCATCGTGTAGTTGTGTCTCCCATAGAGGTCACATTAAACTCCTCCCTCCATTTACTGTACATGGTACATTGCCATCATGAATTTAACAGTTCAAGATCTATAGAAAAATTTACATAGTTAAAAATGTTCATTCAAGTGTAAAAATATTCCAATAATCTTGAAATTAGAATCCATACATGTAATATTTAAATTTCCGGAGATCAACTGTTCTATAAATAATGTACCAGCTCAGGTTCATTGTTAAGTAAAACAAACTTACTTGACAATGTTCATGTAAACCTTCAACACTAACATATCTCCTTAATATATATATAATGAAACAGATTATCTGATTCCTATGAACATCCAAACAAAAATCAAAGCAAAAAGTAGAGATAAGATGAAGAAAGAAAGGAAAATATTAAAACTTTACCTTTTAGAAAAGAAAGGGTTTAACGGTGGTGAACACAGGTGAAACGATATCTGAAAATAGAGGAAAATCTAAACAAAAACAGAAGCCATGTTTTACAACCCAAATTGATGGTTGCGGTTGACTTTTTATGTAATTTACCATCAATTTTCACATACATAGCATATACTTACAATGGATTGCAATCCAGAAAATCCGTTCAAGTATTCACACTGTCATCGGCGGTCTTGATCATCACAGGTTCGTTTGCCCCAGGAAGCACCTCATATGCTTCACTCTCCAACACCATCTTCTTACTATCTCTACACCTTTATTTCAGGTTTCTATCAGTCTTCTTTCTGAACTCTGTTATGCTTTCTTATTTTACACAACTCTTCCCACTCTACATTTGAAACTGATGAGTTTTAGAGATCAAACACAGAAAGATTTTACACTAAAAAAGAACAATCACTAAACTATTTAGATGTAAAACATAGAAAGCAAGAAAACCAAACAAATAAACATGAGTTGTTTACCTCTAATTGGTGCAGAATCGGGAAGAATCTTCCACAGATATCCTGGCTGATAAATTAACAGGTTCCGAATACTTGCAAAGGGTGAACTACCATGAACAGAAAAGGTGAGAATAGTGGTTAACCTCAACATGGCTGAGAACAGGGAAACTCTCTATAGTTTTGTAGTAATCGGCAATGAAAGCAACCATCTTGTGCCCATGTTGTCTAATAGTTGCTCTGCATCCATTGCCTTCAGATTCAGCCTATTCTCCCTGTCATACACGCATCATCATGCTCAATCTGTGAGACACATATTTGCATTCAAGAAAAATGAAAGACTACAACACTTACATTTTCCTAATGGTTTTGTGAAACTCCCACAGCTAAAGATCAACAATTGGAAGGTTTTGGCTTTTTAGGTATGCAATTCTGTAAAAATTACCTACTAATCTGTGTCTCTTTATCTCTTTTAGAAAGCATGCTTCTAAGAGCTCCACCGACATTAGGGTTTAATAAATTGGGTTCAATTAAATACATTAGGGCTTACTTAAATGATGATGACATATAATGAAGATTACGATTACCTTGCAAAGAAGAAGTGGTTGGATCTGCAGGTCAAACACTGAAAAAAGAACAATCACTAAACTATTTATATGTAAAACCTAGAAAGAAATAAAACCAAACAAATAAACATGAGTTGTTTACCTCTAATTACAAATGGATCACATAATCTGAGAAGAAGATGCTAATCGAGAATCAAACCCTCCTGCAACTACCTTCTAAAACCCTACTGTTTCAGTCAATCACAATCGACCGCCATGAAGTCCTTTAATAAATTAATTTAGATTCAGGTCTCCAACGCAACACCGCTACAGGTTTTCACATTCTGAACCACCACCAAGACTGCCATCAAAATTCGAACGATTTGTGGTCTTTCGATTTGTAAAATCATATACATAACCATAAAAGAAACTCATCAAAAGCAAAAGGCAAAGAAAAAAAATCACAGCAACCATATGGGAATTGGTTGGATGGTTTAGGGTCCTTAGCAGTTGACGGTAGAGGTGGGAAATGGTTGGAGGAGCGTATGAGGAAGAAGCAACCAACATCCGATCGAAGAAGACAGAATGCTATGGAGAGGCGATGACCACTTAATCGGATCAATAGTAGAGCAGAAGCTGAAGAGAGACAGCGAAGTAGACAAAAAGTGAAAGGCGGTGGATTGGAACGCATACCTGAGTATAAGAATGGATAGATGAAGCGGTAGCGGTGGATAGGAACACTAATCTTATTATTATTGGTTAAAATACAAGACAAAGCTCGTTGTCAAAAGGTGAAACAACACCTCTGTCGCTGATCGCACCATCTCCAGCAATCCATGTTGCTGCCCTGAACACGACAGTGGTGGTGGCCAGCGAGAAGTGTACATGGGTACTGGGTGTTGCTGAAAAAAAATCGAAAAAGAAATTATAGATGAGAGAACGAATGGAAAAAGTTAGGGCTGAGGTTGGACGTGGTTATACCCAAATGGAAGTAGACATCAATCCAAACTGTTATCTAAAACACCTACCTGAAGATCATACCTGAGATTAGATGGCGAACCCTAACGGAGGTAGGCGACGGTGGAGGTGGGATGAGAGGGAAGCAAATGGATTGCGGAAGGTCTGCATATATGTACTGAACCGAAATCTGGAGGCGAGGTCAGGTTGGGCCGTGCCGACTGTGGTGGCGGTCGTGTCTTCGGTGGTGGGGACCCCGAATCCATGAAAGCTTGAGACGAAGAAGATAGGGAAAATGACTTAAAAAGGTAATAATGTTTCAAAAACATAAAAAAAACACCATTATTCTTTTTTTAGTGAAAAAAATATCATTTTACCGGATGTTATAGGTTAGCCGGTTAAAAGATTTATGGGAATAATTGTGCCCTTACCCTTCGTTATTTCCCCCAAAATCAAGGGTTCTTTCCTTCTCCTTCGTTCGTTCATCCTTTCCACAGAATCACAATGGATTTCAACTTCACAATCGAAGTAAATCATACATGTTCTTTTGTTCCCAAATCGATTGTGTATTTCAATCCAGTAAAAATGGTTGTTAGCAATGTCGATTTCAGAAGCATGAGTTTCATGGAGTTCATCTCGTATGTGAAGAACTTGGTCAAGGATGGAAGAATCAATGTGTACTATTGTCTTCCACAACGTTCACTGAGAGATGGGTTAAGAGTCTTGGAAGATGAAAATGATTATGTTCGTTTCCTTGATGTTGGATATGAGAATGGGGGTATGATCAATTTGTACATTGATCACAGTCAGTATCTAGTTATGGAGTGGATTGAAGAAGAGATAGCTGAAGATGGATCGATAGATGGTAATACGGATGATGATGATGATGATGTAGACTCTGAGCTTTCAGATGATGATTTCGTGGAGCATGAGCCTGATGATGAAGTGATACAACTACAACCATCTGATGATCTTTTCATTAAAAGAAAATTTTTCAAGCCTCCAAGAGTTGTGGATGATGAAAAAGATGATAAGAAAGATGTCAAGAAAGATCTTCATAAGTATCCAGTTCATGATCCTAACCAAAAATGGGATACAATGTTTCCAGTCTTAGGTATGAAATTCTGTGATCGTTATGAACTTAAGCATTTGTTAAGCAATTATGCTGTTGCTAATGGGTATAAACTGTGGTATGAAAAAAATGATTCAACTAGATTATTAGTTAGATGTTGCAAAGGTGAAGAGAAGTCTAAATGACCTTTTAGGTTGTGGGCAATTTGGATGAGTAAAGAAAGATCATTTCAGATTAAGTCCTTAATCTCTGAACATAATTGTAGTAGGGCCTTCAATTTAGGTTCATTGGTCACATATAGGTGGATTGGAAAACAGTTAATAGAAACCATAATAGAGAATCCAAGAATAAGTTACAGGAAAATGGCAGCAGCAGTGCTTAGAGATTTTAATCTAAAAGTTAGTTTTGGTCAGTGTAGAAATGCCAAAAATTTTGCAATGGATGAGATAGAAGGGAGCTTGGTGGCACACTATGAAAAGCTTAGGAGTTATGGTTTGGAGCTATTGAGGACTAATCCAGGTTCCACAGTGAAATTGGATGTGGATATCATGCCTGATTCTACAGTCCATTTTTCTAAGATGTATATTTGCTTGAAGGCTGTGAAGGATGGCTGGATTGAAGGGTGTAGAAGAGTGCTTGGTGTAGATGGATGTTTTTTAAAGGGACTTTGTAGAGGTGAGGTACTTTCAGCTGTTGGTAGGGATGCTAATAACCAAATGTATCCTCTAGCATGGGCTGTTGTACCAGTTGAAAATAAGGCAAATTGGAAATGGTTTTTGGATCTATTACTTGAAGACATTGATATGGGACAAGGTAGAGGACTAACCATCATCTCTGACCAACACAAGGTAGTCAACTGTTTTTTAATAATAGTATTTCTATTTTATTTTTAATTTATAATGACATTCAAATGTTACTTAATAGGGACTGATTGAAGCAGTTAAGGAAAGAGTGTCAGAATGTGAGCATAGACAATGTACTAGGCATGTCTATGCCAACTTCAAGAAAAAATTATCAGGAGCTGAATACAGGAAACTTTTCTGGTGTGCTGCCAAGGCCACAACAACCACAAAATTTGAAGATATCATGAAGGAGATCAAATTGATTGACATAAATGCCTATGAACACCTGATGTATGTGGTCCCACTTTGATAATGTATGTGGTTTGGTAATGTATGTGGTTTATATTTATGGACAAGGACAGGGACAAGGCCATTCCAATATGTGGTCCAACTTTTTGCCAATATACTAACCAGGAATCAATAATTCCATTTCAATATACACAATGACTATTAATCAGGAATCATTAATTTCATTCATGTGTGAAGAATCAATAAAATGAAACTTTTCATTCCACCAATATTTTAATTGTCATCATACAATGAGTGAGATGGCAAACGGGCAACAAGCTGTGCCGCTAAGCCTTTTTGAATGATAAAGCTAATCCTTTTAAAGACTACATCCGAAGATCTAGGGGATATAACATTACTATGCATGATTCGTTGTACTCTTTTAAGAAGCTCTACCGCATCCGGTGCGAGGAAACCAAATGTATCAAATGCAAATGGTATGAACACGTGTTGATTTTCCATGCACGATTTCTCATGTTTGGTGACTTTGCCTGTAGCTGCTTTTAAAGCAGCATGTCCCGTCGTTAAACCCCCAGCCCTCAGGCCCACGAGAGGGGATACCCCTGTAAGATCCACACATGCGTGTTTCCCTCCTCCCCATCCAAAAATCAAAATGTCAGCCGGTCTGAGGGTTGACCTTCCTTCTGTCGGGTCAGTCAAGAAATCAACAGGTGCTTCTTTCTTAGCGGAAACCCCGGCACGCTTAAATATGTCAAACAAAACATCCCTAACCATATCGTGCCTGTATTTAAAGCAATAATTAATAATTCCATTCCATTCCAGGAATCACTGATTCCATTCCTGTGTGAAGAATCAATATTAACCAGGAATCATTAATTCCATTTCAATATACACAATGACTATTAATCAGGAATCATTAATTCCATTCATGTGTGAAGAATCAATATTAAGCAGTAATCAATAATTCCATTCCATTCCAGGAATCACTGATTCCATTCCAGTATGAGCACTCAATTATATTTACGAATCATTGGTCCCATTCCTTTATCAAAACTAAATTTATTTCCATAAAACATTGATTCAATTCCAATACAAGACTTTTAATTAACCAAACTTTCAAAATACATTACCAAAGTCATTACATTACAATTTTCATTTCATTTCAATATAACATACATAAAAAAACATAACAAAGAACAACAACATACAACATTTGAGATTCCAATATTTCCTAGTTAATTTATCCAAGTCTTTTTTGAAACTCATTGATTCTTTATCTGCCTTCACCTTATGTGTCCAAAAATTATTTTCGAATATTGATATCTTGACTTCAGTGTTGTCTTCTTTTATTAGTTCTTCATCTTGATCGACCCATTCCCAGAAATCACATTTCTTCTTCTTCTTATCCTTCAATATACATAATAAATTAAGTATGAAGGAGAAGTAGATGATAGATGCTAGAACCACTTAATAGTGAGTTACGACATACTCTGAACTTTCTACCCGGATTATCAACCGTAGTTGAGGTCCAAACTTGGGAAGGCTTCTCACAGTGACAAGGGTGAGCATAATCAATTGTGCTCCTGCTCTTGGAAATGTTCGAATTTGACTTAGAATAATTTGATGAGCTTGAAGATGTCATAGGAGCCGAAGGAGACGAAGAAGGGGGATGAAGATGGAACCCTAATTTGATGGATGAAGGTTATTAAAGCACGTTCAATAGTTGACCTGAGGTAACCGGTTACCTCAGGTCATTCTAAAGGGTTATTTGTATTTTGTTTGATATTTTTTGTACAAAATTTTCATTTTAATGGTATTTTTTCACTAAAAAAAGAATAATGGTGTTTTTTGTACGTTTTTGAAACATTATTACCTTTTAAGTCATTTTCCCAAGAAGAAAAGTAGAGAAGAAGGAGAAGAGGCGGTGAAAGGTTCCAGAAGCTGGAATGAAATGAAGCAGTGGAGGGGACACTGATCCCAATTTTATTGGTTAGACAGGGGCGGTGAATCAACAGATTAAAAAAAGGGAAAAAAAAATTCGAAGTGGTCCAATAAAAAGCAAGTCATGTTTATCATGTAGTTGTAAATTAGTATATTATATAATAATGAAAGTTTCATTATATTGTTAACTATAAAATATACATCAAAAGATTTTAATATTTATATATGTTATCTTTTATTAAAATGTTATAATCATAAAATGTCTATATAAACTCATTAGCTATTAATAATTAAAAATAAATATAAATCAAGTTTATTTTTTACTTAGATACATAACCCATGGATAGCAACTAATTTTAATATTTATATATGTTATCTTTTAGTAAAAATAATTAGAATGTTTTATAACATAATTATTAATTCAAAGTTAGTAACAACGATATTTTTTAATAATAATATATTCATCAATATTTTACTTACGTCTGCGCAACACACAGACATTCGCCTAGTTACATTATTAAACAGAGAAAAAGAAACAAAAATCTAATTTATCAAGTATTACACTTAGTCCCTATTTATGAGATTTAATACAAATGAAGGAAAATAAATAAAAATCCATCCATGCAATATGATCTTTAATTATTTTTTAATCATTAGATTTTTCTGAGTGTTTTATTTTAATTTATTATGAATTGTTTAAGCTATCATTGGTCATTGAATTTGTTTTTTTGTTTTTGTTTTTGTTTTTTTTTCATTTTAAAGTCGGAGGAGATACCTACAACAACGAGGATCGTGGTGGTGACATGGAAGAGGGAATGCACGTGGCAGAAGAAGAGAGGAAGAGAGATTGTTTGTGTGTGTGTGTTCTTGATAGGATGGAGAACAACGTGACATGTTCTCCACGCATCTTCGGGTCAAGTTCAATTACTAAACTACTTTTCTATAGCTTCAAATTGGTCGGCCTTATAATCTGCATAACAATATTCGTGATCAATATGAATACAAGGCTATTATGTTACTTGTGAGATTTTATAAGCTCTAAATCTTATAAAATATTTAAAAGCTGAAAAGTTATTTCCTTTTAATATTATATGTATTAACAACTATGCAATTTAATTAACTTTGAATCATATTCTCCACAAGTTAACAAAACACAACAAAATGCATTTGGTTCGTAAAATGGCTGCATGTGACATTGCTACAATTTATTGTTAAAATTATGAAAGTTAATTCGTTAAAGCAAAATACATACATCTTCACAAAATCATTGGACTTAAGTCAACACTATCACCCTGTTCCCGAGTTCAATTTAACAAAAAAAATAATGGGTGGAAATTAGAAGAAAATAAAAGAAATGAAATAGGTGGAAATGAGAAGAAAATAAAAGAAATTTATGTTCCCAAGTTTCATTAAAGAAAAGAAGTGGAAGGAAACGGAGAGAAATGGAATGATCACTTTCCTTCCTAACTTTCCTTCCGATTTGGGAGGATATGGAAAGAAATAATAACATGATTAATTTTCCTTCTATTTATTTCCAACTGGGTAACAAAAAAATTGTTTTCCTTTATTTTCTCTTCTTTTCTCTCTTGGTTTTCTTTTCTCTTCTTTTCTTTTGTGTTGTTAAACTCGGGAACTAGGCGTATGTGAAGTGTTGTTTATGTTAATCCTTTCCAAAATCGGAATTAAGGGAGGTTGTTAAAAATACCCTTCGGTTATTCAATTATGCTTTGGAAAAACAAGTTTTTTTTTCTATATATAAAGTGGCAAGTGTAAAAGACGGTGGGTTAAAAGTAATTCAAGAAAGAGTTTGAGGACTGAAGTTGTCAAGCGAAGCAGTAATTTGAAGAAATAAGAGTTCTTGTACGTGAGAAGAAAGAGGCGTATTTTCCTTCTCACGTACAGGAACACGCTGATGTTGCAGAAATCATTGAGACACCTTCGAGTTCGATTGTTCATCGAGACGATGATTCTGCATAAAGTTTTCGGAATTTGACAGAAACAGAGGCTGATTTAACTTTTTCAGTAAGATCTCAACCCTTTTTGCTGCTTTCATTCCCATAGGTTCTTGTTCCCATCTTGTCTACTAGGACTGAATCCAAAAAAATTAAACGATGCATGGTACTAATACTTTCAGAACTGAACTTTTAAAGCAAATATTAAAGGAAATTTGTGGTTCTTGGTTGCTTGATTGTTTGAAAGTGAAGAAGAAACCATGACACAACCATTGACATTAAATTTGGGATCTCAACCATTGACTTGACTTATTGGTTTATTTAATATTAAAGTAAATACTAATTATCATCATATCATATCATATCATATCATACTATATTATAAAGGAAACATTTTTCCTTTCACCACATTCATTTGAAACTCCCATGCATTTTTTTCTTTCACCACATTCATTTGAAACTCCCATAACTTTTCAATTTCTTTCTAATAATAATTATAAGTTGGTTAATAAGGTTAAATAAATATCAAATTTAAAGTGTAATCATATATAAACTAAATTTCAATATTAAAATAATATGTTTACTTCTACTTATAAAGTTATGTTTTTTCAACTTTTAACATATTATACTTAATTTATTAGTTTTAATATATTGTTGGATGTAAAACATTATCATTTTAAAGATACAATTTTGGAACAATTTGTATAAAATATTTAAATTATTAATTTGAATATAACATTACTGGTCAACTTAAATATAAATTTTGGTTTAACTTAAACAACGCAAAGAATATTTTGTAAATAGTTAAAAGTGATTAAGTGTAGTGTCTTTCTAATAATGATTATAAGTTGGTTAATAAAGTTAAATAAATATCAAACCTAAAGTGTAATCATAAATATACTAAATTTTAATTTTAAAATAATATCTTTACTTCTACTTATAAAGTTATGTCTTTAAATTTTAACATATTATACTTAATTTATTAGATTTAATATGTTGTTATATGTAAACCATTATCAGTTTAAAGCTACAACTTTTGAACAGTTTAGACAAAATACTTAAATTGTTAAGTTAAATATAACATTACAATGTCAACTTAAATATAAATTTAAGTTCCACTTAAAAAACCAAAGAATATTTTGTAAATAGCTAAAAGTGATAAATTGTAGTGATAAATGCAAAAACTAAATTGTAATCTCAATTTAACTAAAATATTTCCTAAAAATATTTTTATAATCGTTAAAAGTTTTCAAATAAGTAGCTTAAAATAACTTACAATAACAATAGTTAAAAATAATTATATATAAATGATTATATTGTTACCTTTAATATATAAAAACAATGTTTGATGTTTTTAATAATTATAATGATAGAAATTAAAATATTAAGCAAATAAATTTTAAAAAAGTAATTAACAATAACAACTATAAATAACATTAAACCATATATTATATTTAATTTGACTCATGTGTAACTCGCGGATAGAAGTAATTCAAACGATTAAAATTATGCAGTTATAATATATGTATGTATATATTATCATATAATTCAAAAATAATCAATATATTACATCAATTTAGTATACGAATTATTATATCAAATTTAACAACAAAGTTATTGCTATATTTAAATAAACATATATGTGTAAAAACTTCAACTATATAGGTGTTTATGCGCAACGCGCGTGCATTCGCCTAGTTAACATTATAAGCACTGAAATATCTTAGTAATGGAAATTATTGATGATGTAGGAGGAAGATGAAGTGTGAGGAATGATAATAGATATTCGTGGCCATTATGTGGAAATCGCATTGTTGCTTCTAAAAATTCAGCTTTCTATTTGTTCATTGATTGGATGTAAGCATCATCACCATCATCATCATGCAATGCATCCATACATAATACATATACAAATTTTGTGAATCCTCCTTAATAAATGAAGGTTTTTTTGCTACATGTCAATTTCTCATGAGTTTTCATACTTGTCATTTTGTGTTATTTTTAAATAAATATTATCCACTTGTCAATTTTTGGTTTGTTTCATTTTTTAAAATTAAAATCATATACTTATATATGTAAACTATTAAATATCATATATATGTATTAAATTGCAATAAATATGTTCTTCCTTTCTTATTTTAAAGTTGTACATTAAAAAATATTTTATGTTTATACTTTATATTAATGTTTAATTTTTTTCTAAATCAACCCGTGTAATACACGGGTCTCACACCTAGTGTGTCTAATAGATTTATGATGTACAGATGTCGGGAAAGTGACAATTTGTCAAATGTCATTTTGTGGAATTTTTAAAAATTTTCTTTTTCCACTTGGCATTTTCTTGTGTTTTTTATTTTCTTAAATTTAAAATCTACATTTTCCTAAAGGCTTAAATATGTAAAGTAGATCAATCAATTAAATTTTATAATAATTTGTATAAATCCGTTTCTTTTGTGTCAAATCTCCTAGAGAGTAAGTGATTGTAGGTTAATGCATGTATTGGGTTGTACCAAAGCGTACTGTCATTTAAATCATAATTGATGCATGTTAGTAATTGAATTTCCTATGGTCTCTGCCTTTTAGGTTTATGCTAATTTCCTATTTCCTTTCATTTTTTACAACAGATTTTGATATTAAAATAATTATTATCAACCTGTTTGATGTTTTTAAAGAAAACACTTTGCATAGACAATACGAATTATTGAAGTTATCGATTTTCACTGGTCTTTTGATATTTTCAATGAATTAATTTATATATTCATATAATTAAAAAAAAGTATTTTGCATGTGAAAACCTTCATTTCCTTCACTTATTTTATTTTATCATATCTTTTGTATTTATATAAAAATATTACTTTAAAAAATAATGTAATGCTTATAATTTTATATAAAACTTTTATTTTTAATAAACTCGTGTAATACACAGGTAATAATATAGGTGTTATGGGCTTAGTGATATTCAAAAGTGGATATCTGTAATTTCGGATTATGGATATTGGTATCTGAATCTTTATCTGGAATTTCAGATATCATGAATCTTCACAAAATAGAAAAAAAAAAATAATAAAAAGAAATCTCAATCGTATTTAAATAAAAAAAAGAAATCTCAATCGTATTTAAAAACACTGAGATCAATAAATCTTAGACTATATAATAATCTTGAATCGTATCTAAAAACAATGAGATCGAAGAGTAATTTATTAATTTAAATCACACAAATCGTTGAAAATTTAAGTATTTAGCCACATTCTCTAAAATGGAACTCAAATTGTTACAACGCCCTTAGCAACTTAAATTATGCAAATCAAGTTTTATTAGTCCATACAAATATTAATTTAACAAGTATCTATTATTATCTATTATAAAAAAAGGTCATTTTCCTATTATCATGTTCATTTGAAACCAATTTTTAAACTTCTTTTCTAATTAATACATTCAATTTATTATTATTCTAATTTTAATATTAATTCTTTATTTTCAAACCCTATTTTTTTAAATAGTCAAAAAGTTTAAATACATAACCTAAATTAAAATGCAAAATTAACAAAAAAATAAATCAAAAATCACTTTTTATAATAATAAGTTTTTTCAAAAAAGAACTTTAAAATTATTTAAAATATTGAATGTTTCAATATATTGTTAAATATAGGACATACATCAAGAGATTTTAATATTTATATATGTTATATTTTAATAATGTTAATCATAAAATATGTATATAAACTGATTAACCATTAATAATAAAAAATAAGTATAAATCACGAAATAAGTTTATTTTTTACTTAAATGCATAACCCACGAATAGCAACTAATTTAATATATATATATATATATATAGATATATATATATATATATATATATATATATATATATATATATATATATATATATAGGGTTCGGTTCCGATAGGAACCCAAAAATTGGTAGGAACCATGATGACTATTCTCCACCAATCATTTCGTCAAGGTCACAAAAGTCAAACCTATTTATTTGGTCGTGACCCGTTCGCACGTGGCGCACGTGCATGGAACGTAATACGGATTCGAGGGAATAATCATGTGCAACGAACGTA